CTTGTTGCTGTAGCAGGAAATGTATCATCAGGTGTTGCTGTTGCAACCACAATTAAATCCACTTGCTCAGGGGGAATGCCAGCTCTTTTCAGGGCTTGGTTTGCTGCTTGGGTCCCTAGGTCTGAAGTTTTTTCACCTTCTGCAGCAATGTGTCTAGATGTAATTCCTGTACGCGAAATAATCCACTCATGAGACGTATCAACAGTTTTTGAAAGGTCTTCATTCGTCACAATTTTTGCGGGAAGATAAGCACCACAACCAACAAAAACAGAACGGTTCATAGGGGAAGTTCCTTGAAAAGTTATTCTGAAGTACTACTTCGTTTAGCTGCTGCCAAACGATCAGAGTCTTTAAGCTCTGCACAAATGCGATCATTGACTCGATTGTTTACAATGTCAACAGCGACTCCTACAGCATGTGAAAAACCAAAGGCATCTGTTCCACCATGACTTTTAACAGCAATACCATTCAAGCCAAGAAAGATAGCGCCATTATGGCGTCGTGGGTCTAACTTTTGACGTAAGGACTGTAGAATAGGTAGGAATAAAGGTGATACGAGACGAGTAAGCCAGGATTTTTTTAAGCTCTTACGCAGATACCCTGTGACTAAGCGAACAGTTCCTTCTATAGATTTCAAAGCAACATTGCCTGTAAAGCCGTCTGTCACTAAGACATCAACTGTTCCTTTTGCAAAATCATCTCCTTCAACAAATCCATATAGATTAGGGACAACGTTGTTCGTTTTCAAGAATTCGTGCGCTTCACGCACCGTAGGATTTCCTTTAAGTTCTTCAACACCAACATTTAAAAGGCCTACAGAAGGATTATCTTTTCCTAAAACGCATCGCGCAAATACTTCACCCATAATGGCAAATTGAACTAAGTTTTCAGGAGAACATTCAACATTTGCACCAAGGTCAAGCATTACAACATCTCCTGTTATTGAGGGAAGGACAGTTGTAATTGCAGGGCGATCAATTCCTTTAAGTGTACGAAGTGAAATTTTTGAAAGGGCCATATAAGCCCCCGTGTTGCCAGCAGAAACGACAGCATCAGCACGCCCCTCTTTTACAGCTTCAATTGCCAAGCGCATGCTAGAATTTTTAGATCCACGCAAGGCGGCAGAAGGTTTCATATCTGCTGAGATCACTTCAGATGTGTGAGTTAGCTCAACGCGCCCTTTTAAAGAAGGTTTTTTTTCAATCAAGGGAGAGAGCTTTTGTTTGTCGCCAAAAAGAAGGATTTTTAGTTCTGGGCGTTTGGCAACAGAAAGAGCAGCCCCTCGTACAACTGCACCGGGGGCATTATCCCCCCCCATAGCATCAATGGCAATTGTGACTGTCACGCTCGCTCTTCTTCAAAAAAATGCCAGGACACGCTCTACAGGCTTGTTAGGCCTGTGCGCTATCCCCAGCGCTTTCTTGTTCACCTAAAACAGAACGACCACGATAAAAACCGCAAGAAGGGCACATGTGGTGTGATAATTTTATTTCACCGCATTCAGGGCATTCTGAGGACACCACTGCTGTTAGAGCATCATGTGAGCGACGCAATCCACGACGAGACGGTGTTGTTTTCCTTTTTGGAACAGCCATAACATTTCTCTCAAAATCATAAATCTGTGATCACCTTTAGCGGAAAAGTAGGATTTTCTCAAGAGATTTGCTACATAAGATTAGAAAACAATTAAAAAGTTCTGACTGTGACTGACTTTATCAACGAAAAAAAAGATCTTATTGCCTATTTCGAGAGAGGCTGTACCCCTTTAAACCAAAGGAAAATCGGCACAGAGCACGAGCTTTTTGTCTATAAGCAGGATTCTCTTCAACGCGCACCATATACAGACCATACTTCTGGAAATATTTTTTCCCTCCTTCAAGAAATGCAATTTTTTAGTTGGTCACCTGTCTATGAAGGAGGTCATTTGGTTGCTTTAAAAAAAGGAAAATCTGCGATCACTTTGGAGCCTGGAGGGCAAGTAGAGCTCTCCGGTGCGCCCCTTAAGGTTCTTCATGAAACAAAGCAAGAAACGGCAACATACCATCAAAACTTGAAAACGGCTTGCAAAAAGCTTGGTCTTCTTTTGGTGCCATTAGGCGCTGAATGCAAATGGAAACGGAGCTACCGCCCTTGGATGCCTAAAAATAGATATCGGTTAATGCGAGAATATATGCCTAAAAAAGGCACGCATGGCTTGGATATGATGCAAGGCACTGCAACAGCTCAAGTTAATCTAGACTATGTCTCAGAAAAAGACATGATTGTAAAGTTCCGTACTGCACTCAAGTTACAGCCTCTCACAACAGCACTTTTTGCAAATTCTCCTTTTGATCCAAGAGGTATAACACCCTATCAAAGTAAGAGAAGTTTTTATTGGGCTCACACAGATCCTGATCGATGTGGCCTTATTTCGGAAGTTTTTGAAGATTCCTTTTCTTTTGAACAATACATAGATTTTGCTTTAGACGTTCCGATGTACTTTGTTTATCGAGGAGATAACTATCTAGACGCCCGAGGACAGTCTTTCAGAGACTTCATCAAAGGAAAGCTCCCAGCGTTTCCAGACGAATTACCTACTTTTCAAGATTGGTCAGACCATTTAACGACTATTTTTACGGAAGTCCGTTTAAAAACTTTTCTTGAAATGCGTGGTGCGGACGGTGGTAACCAAGATCATGTTTTGGCTCTTTCTGCACTTTGGACAGGAATTTTATATGACGCAAGCGCTTTAGCTTTTTGCGAAGACCTTACAAAAAGTTGGACATTTGAAGATGTTCATACCCTTTTATTAGACTGCGCAAAAGATGGCTTTGATGCGACAATTAAAGGACAAAGTGTTCGAGATCTGACAAGGCAAATTGTTTCTCAGGCTCAAGCAGGGCTTAAACGTAGAAAATTTCTTAATGAAAAAGGACAAGATGAGTCTATTTATCTAGACTATCTATTCGAAAGGCTGGAAAAAGGAACACAAGCAACCCTTTGGAAAAAAGCTTTTTTTGATACGTTTCAGCAAGACATCAATACGTTGTTACGTTCTGCGGCAAAGACATTATAATTTTTTATAGAGCCAACTCTAGAATTCCAAGCTCGCTTTGTCGAGACTAACTTATAAACTGCTCAGAAATAATACGCTCTTCTAGAGCGTGTTCTGGATCAAAAAGGATCTTTATTTCCTTTTCAGGATCTTCCGCAACAGAAACATGGACAACATTACGAACTTCATAAAAATCCGCAACGGCACTAACAGGGCGCTTTTCAGTTTCATGAATTTCGAATTCCACAGAAGACCTATGCGGAAGTAATGCTCCCCTCCAACGGCGTGGGCGGAAGGCGCTAATAGGCGTTAAGGCAAGGAGGTTAGATCCTATGGGTAAGATGGGTCCATGGGCTGAAAAATTATATGCTGTTGAGCCTGCAGGCGTTGACACCAAAACCCCATCACATACAAGCTCTTTTAACCGTTCGTGATTGTCAACAGACACCCGTATCTTGGCAGCTTGTGCACTTTGTCGCAAAAGAGAAACCTCATTAATTGCGAGCGCTTCATGGGATTCTCCCTGATAATTTTTCACTTGCATCCGTAAAGGGCGAAGATGAGCAACTTGAGCCCTTTTTAGGCGTTCCATGAGGTTTTCAGGACGAAACGTATTCATTAAAAAACCAACGGTGCCACAGTTCATACCATAAACAGGCTTTCTGTCATCAATATAGCGGTGGAGCATCTCTAACATCGTTCCATCACCGCCTAAAACCACTAAAACGTCCGCTTGTGAAGGGGGAACAGACTCATGATGCTTAAGCAATAAATTCGCAGCTTCTCTGGCTTCTTTTGTTGCAGAAACAAGGATCGATACTTTCATGGATGCTTCCTACTTTTTGTCTCTTAAGCACAAAGCAAAATCTTGGCCGAGAGTGCGCAAAAGAGTGATGTAATCATTACCCATCGGGCTTGTCCAAACAAGAGAAGTTTTTAAAATATCCGCCATTAAAGCAGGTAAGCGTGTCTGGCCACTTTTTTCAGCAATGATGCAAGATGGTTTTACATTGCTCATATCTTGTAAAGTTTCTTGTAAACTTTTTAAGCTTGTCCCTAAACCGTGATCATCCGCTAAAAGGATACTTTTATACCCTTTTAGACCAAATGCGTTTTCGAAATATTGATAGCCATCATGCATCACTAAAAAAGGTTTATGTTCAACAGAAGCAAAGTTATCTCGAATATGCTTTGTTTCTTGGTGTACTAACTGGATAAAAGATTCGGCATTAGAGTGATAGAGCTCTATATAGTCTGGGTCCAATTCAGACAATGTTTTTGCCATTTGAAGGGCAATGATTTCTGCATTTTTTGGATGAAGCCAAATATGAGGATCTATATTCCATTGGCTCCGCAGGTGCTTATGATCATGGAGGCTGTCATGAGAACAATCTAAAGAATGCCTATGAGCATGATGAGAACAGCACGCCTCCCCCCTCAAAGGAAGAAGAATCAGGTCTTGCATTTGAATCAGAGAAACGACATGTGCAGATTGATCAAGCCTTTCTATGGGCTTTTCTAAATAGGACTCAAGGGTTGGTCCTATCCAAAAAATAACATCTGCTGAAGACAAGCTATACGCTTGCGATGGTGTTAAAGATCCTTCATGAGGAGACGACAAAGGAGAGAGTAAAACCGCTGGCCTTCCTCTTCCTTGCATTACAAATTTTGCGATTGATCCTAAAGGAGCAAGCGTCGTTACAACTTTAGGTGGAGATGTTTCTTCAGCGTTTAAGACAGAAGAACCCACAAAAAAAATGGTCCCTAAAAAAAATAGAAAAAGTTTTTGAGTTAACAACGGTCGTGACTCCCATCACAAAAGGGAGGTGTTTTCGTTCGTTTACAACCGCACAAGTAAACGGTTTCTGATTTTTCAGCAACCCAAGGCACGCAACGAAATTCTGTTCCTTTGTGGGCCCCATCACACAAAGGCTGTTTCGCACTTAAACCACACGAACACCATGGATAACGTTTCCCTTTTTCTGCCTCTACTTTGTAAGGGCCCTCTTG